TGGTTAAAGTGGGATAAGTTAAATAAACAAAGGTGATGCCGTCGAATTTTCTAATAAATGAGTAGTTTTTAGGCCAACTCTGGGAAGGCATATCTCCATCCACAGAAGTCCAATTAGGACGTGATATACACCATTTTAAAGGTTGGGATGTCATATATTGTGTCAAATTTTGGTACCACTTGAAGCTGAGTAGCATCCTATAGGTCCGATAGTGTGAGAACTGTCCAAATTAGTCAAGTGCAGGGGCTGTTTGGGTCCCCTGCTTTCAAAAATTGTTTCTTCCTCAATTCTTATTCAAATTAGGCTTATGATATATCAAATTAAAGCCCAAGGTTTCTAGTATTGTGTATAAAAATTTGAGAGCAATTGGTTTAGCAAATTGTCCAGAATCGCAGAAATGTTGAGGGAGATTTGGTGCTCTGTTTTGGGTTGGCTGGCAGCTTTGCTTGTCCAAATTCAAATAGTTATAGCTAGAGCTAGAGAACTCTAATTGAGGCATGTATATCTTTTTGGAAAGGTAATTGAGTCTAGTTTAACATACTAAAATATGAGAAATTAATAATGTGTATAGAACGCACAGTTGTGGAAAGACAGAAGCATGTTCAGTTATAGGAAAACTGTAAAAGTGAGATTTATGCTAAGTGGATTTATTGAAACCCCTTAATAACTAAAAATAAGCAATGTATGACAGTTAAACATGTATTATATTAACTCCACATATAGATTTCAGTTATGATCATAGTTTATATCATTACATTTTATATTATTTTCAAACGCTTACATAATGAAAAGAAAAAAGTTTACTCGTTTTTTTAAATAAATCGCTGTGATTGTAACTGCGCTTATTATCATAATCAATGTTGACAATACCGGTGTACAGCGGGCTGTTACGCAGGGAAGTCTTTATCAAAGCAAATGACTCATGAATAAATTATTTCTATGAAGGTGATGGTACAATCTACGGATAAGTGAAGGTGATTCCTTTTTAGCACATTTAAATGAATTTAATATTATTTATGCGCAACCTACATCTATAGATGACAATCTAGATAAGGAAGATAAGGTTTGCACTTTACTTTGTTCATTGCCAAATTCTTGGGAGGAAATCATTGTTTCTATTGATACTGATGTTAGTAGACTATCTTTTGAGATTCTTTTTGTTGCCATGTTTCCTAAAGAGACGAAGAAGGTATAGGAGACTAGTATATGTATTTGACTCCTAGAGAGATTATAATGATGGATAATTAATACTGGAGCATCCTTTCATATGATGACTCATGGGGATTGGTTTTGTTGTTATGAGCCATATTATAAAGGTATGGTGAGAATGAGAGATGACATGACTCTTGATTGTAGGGCATGAGAAAGTAAAACTGAAGATGAATATTGATGATACGATTAAGAATTTGTCGGATGTGATGCATATCTTTGACCTTATCAGAAATCTTATCTTTTGTTGGAACTATAGGAGATGTTGGTATCAATTTCAGTAGTGACCAATATTCATGCAAACTAACTTGTGTATCTAGGGTAATTGCAAGATGAGAACATCATGATAAATTATGAAAATTAATGGGTCACAGATGTTCAATGGTGAAATACATATCTAAACAAGCGGATGAGGACATAAAAGGCTCGGGGTGGGAAAAATATGAAGACTTTCACATTAAAGAGGTTAGTGGATGGAATTCCAAATAGTTCTATGGGTTTTGAATATTGTGAACATTATTCACATGAAAAACAAAATCAAGTATCATTTGAATTCATTGGAGGAAGAGTTGAAGGGATTCTAGACTTTATCACATCAATATATTTGACCCCACAAGTGTGAAATCTATATAATAATAATGTAACTTACAGTGGAGAAATTGTGTACAGAGAATTTAAGTTAAATTAAAATCTTCTAGATGCTCCAAACTGATAATAAAATTAAATATGAATTTGAAAGAAGAGCAATAATTTCACAAAGATAAGTTTGTAACTTAATTTATATTCTAACCTACGCACTTCTGTTTTTGACTTTTGACCTTAAAGTTTTTTAAATTAATAATTAGCTGTTTCATTGATATATTTAAAAATGCTTAATGTTACAGTAATGAATTAAAAGACTCTTATATCAAAGGCTGAGTTATTTCATCCATCTTATCACCTACCGTCAAGAGAAATTTGAGCCATTGATATTGGTAATGTGAAATTCTTGTATTCAAAGTTTACATGCACCTAACTTTTTCCAAACAGAAAGTTGTCTAAGTTGCATTTAAAAATTAAGGGTTTTATATATATTATGTTGTATCACAATTTTAGTGTCATGTTACTCTCACATGACAAATGGGATCCACCTTATTTATTTATTTATTTTAAGTGGGACCTACATCAAATATATTAGAATAACATGACAGTAAAAATGTCCTACAACATAACATATATAAAATCCAAAAATTAATTACCGTTTCTCCTTTTAATGATGACTACTCAAGTTCTTCTTTAATAGATAAAAGAAATTATTTGTCTCATGTAATAGGAGAAAATTTTCTTATATTGAGAGATAAATAAAGTGAGTCTCATTGATTTTTTTTTATAAAAAAATACATATTTTTCAATATAAATGAGATATGAGAGAACAACATCATATAACATGAGAACATAATTTTCAAAAACTAAAATAGTCTAAGTTGGAAACTTTCATTTGTTTGTATAATAACGATTGCCATAAGTGCCTTTTGGGTTAGGAATGTCATTTCCAGTTGGTTTAATAGATTTAGAAGTCGTTTGTATTGACTTTTGAAGAAAGTTCTTTTTATTACTTCCTTATTTTAAAAGTATTTTTTATAAAAGTTACAGTCATTTAGATTTTTTTAAAAATATTTGTTTTTTTTAAAAAATTGATTTTTGACTTCTGCTTTTTTTTTAAAACTAAAATTTTTAGTTTCCGAAAAAAGTAAATTTTTGACTTTTTTATGACTTCTGCTTTTTTTAAAAGTATAGAGTTTTTTTTAGAAGTACTTTTTTTTCTTAAAAAAAGCAGTTTTTGAAAAAAAGTCCATCCAAAGTCACACTTATTTAGGTCAATATGTTAATACGTTATTAGATCATATTTGTTCTCTTTCACCATTAATTCATGTCAGCATCGCAATGCTCTTCATTCATATATATATATATATATATATATATATATATATATTCACCATTAATTCCTGTCAGCATCGCAATGCTCTTCATTCATATATATATATATATATATATAGGGATTTATTTTTCTCCTTTTAAAGGAGATAATGTTTTTTCCTACAAACTCAAAAAATACGTGGGTCCATTCCATTTTTATTTTCTTTTTCTTCTTTTAGTGGGACCCATTGCTAAATTGTGTGTATGGCTGGAGGTAAAAAAAATTCTGTTGAAGGAGACACATAAAACCCATATATATATATATATATATATATATATATGGGAAAAATATTTCTCCGACAACTTGAGATAAGTTTATCTCCGACTATCCAAAACGACATCGTTTTATTTATTTATTTCCTTATATTAATTGATTCACCTTTGAATGGTTATAATTCTCTTTTTTTCTCTCTTCCTTTATTACCATTGATCCATATTTGTATGGTTATGATTTATGTTGGGATACACCACCCTAAAAGCTAGCTCAATATGTTGGGACCCATTTATATATGGGGTTTGATTAATCTTATGTTAAAGGAGATAAGTTATCTCATGTCATAGAGATAAGTTTGTGGGCTCCACCATCTAAAAAATAAAAAGAAAAGAAAAAGTGGCACAGTTATCGAAGGATGTGTAAGAGAGAAAGTTATCACATGTAGCATAAGAGTAATTTTTCCCATATATATATATATATATATATATATATATATATATATATATATATATATATGGGGAAAACTAATATTATGTAACATGATACAACAACTTTTACCTACTCACCCATTGGTTTCTGCACCAACATTTTTTGTTTTTTGTTTTTATTATATGTATGGGACCCACATGATTTTTGTTTGGGTAGGAAAAATGCTTTAGATTATGTTTTATGTTACATGATAGTAGATTTACCCTATATATATATATATATATATATGGAAAATGTTTTTCTCATGTTACATGAGAAAACTTATATTATGTTACACATACATCGAAATCTGAGTTAGCATTTTTTTCTTTTTTCTTTTTTTTTAGTTGTGGGACCCACTTAATTATATCTTTACATCAGATAATGTTATCTCATGTAACATGAGAAAAGCATTGCCCTATATATATATATATATATATATATATATATATATGAGACAAGATCCTTTGACACCGGTGTCAAAAAAAAAGTTTGACACCTCATCTGAGAGCTGTTAGATTAAAAAAAATCAACGATTCTGATTTGTAAGCATGTGACACCATTGATTTTTTTTAATCTAACGGCTCTCAGATGAGGTGTCAAACTTTTCCTTTGACACCGGTGTCAAAAGATCCTGCCTCTATATATATATATATTGGTTCAAATCAATAAATAAAATTGAGATAAATGAAGATAAAAGTATTATTATTTAATCTAAACGGGCTCACATGAATATATTAACACAAACCTAACACAATTTTTTAGTTACTTTTTTTTTTATAACACAAAAATAAAAATATCATATTGCGTTAAAATTTTTACGCTAAGCAAAACAAACAAACTAACAAAACAGGTAATATAAAATTGGAACCAGCAAACAATTGAAAACTTGATCAGTGTTGGCATGTGTTGGCGTAAAAAGAAAACAACTACACATGGAGCAGGCAAATTTTTTCTTATTCATACATTTTCCCCCCTTAATTTCACCCCACAAGCCACAAATACCTAGTTTAGGCTAAATTAAAAATTAAAATGTGTGTTTAATTTATTTTAGTTGGATAGTAAATTTTAAAAAGATTTATGCACAAAAATTTATATATGCACAATGTCAAAAAATCAATACGTTCTTATATATATCTTTTTTGTTATATAAATCAATTTATAAAATAATAATGTATAGTATTTGGTCTTGCGGGCAACAACGGTGCTATCAAGATGTTTTTCCGCATTATTTACTCCACTTTACATAAATATTAAATTGGCAACAACAAGAATAGGAGCCCAACATAAGAAAGTCTAAATTTACAAGCAGAGCATCTTCATAGATATTTATTGAATTACTATTTTTAGAGGATATGCAACTGAACAGCAGCTATTATGTATTAAGTAGCTGATGTAAACTGGTAAGAGGCATAAGAGAGACTTCCCATTTCAATACTACTGTGGATAAGTTTGGCCTTTGCATTTTCACCAGCAGCACCAATAGCAACATGCAGCGGATAAAAGTGATCTGGCCAAGGATGAGCCATTTTTGCATGTGGTGCTTTCTTTTCATAGTGATTTACATCTTCATATCTACAAAAAAAGTAATTGAAAAATTTCACAACCAATCCCATGAAGAGCCAAACTCTACCATATTCACTTGCTAATTTTCCAATGTCATATAATATCTTAGTAATGAGATCTTTGCACTAAACATCCTTAATAATATTAACTATCCATTTTAGCAAATTTGAACTCAAAAAATACTCCCCATATAATCCCGACTTGGATTAATAGGGTTAAAAGAAATTCTTATACGCAACTTTAAAAAGGACAAATCCCAATTTAGGATCTATTATATGCAGTTTTACCCTTATATTTTTGCAATGAATTTGAACATGTGACATTTTAATAACAAGGATAAACATTATACACAATCTTATCTTTATATTTAGAGACAATGTTTTCAAGCAGTGTTGTTAAACCCGACCCGAGCATCGACCCGGTCGGGATACTGGGTCACTGGTCGGACCGGTGGGTCACTGGTCGGACCGATTGACCCGAATATATATAAATATATAAATATATATATAAATATGAACATATAAATTCAATTATATTCTCCATATCTAAAATGAATTAAACAAGGTTCACTAAATAAGCAAAAAAATACATGAAGCATAAATAAATAAAAGTGCATGTTATTACTATGTCAATTTAAATTGCAACTCAGAATTTTCATAAACATACCTCTCAATGACATTGAACTCATAGTTTTCAAATTCAATTACATTAAAATAACATATATCACTTTCTCTGATTTATTATTCCACAAATTACTTCAGTTTTGGAAACTAAGAGGTCATTGTAGAAGAGTATACTAGTAAAAAAAAATTACAAAAAATTTTTAAAATGAGTTTTACATTTTTTTTGATAAGATAAAACAATTTTGGTTTTTTTTTTAAATGCATGACCCGACCGGGTCATCGGGTCACTAGGTTTGACTGGGTCCAATGCTTGACCCGAACCGGTCTGGTGACCAAGCCACCGGGTTCCGGGTCGACCCGGCCGGGTTACGCCGGGTTTTACAATAGTGTTTTCAAGATTTGAATCAGTGACCTTTTGGTTACAAAGGAGGTATGTCAGCAAATTTGAACATCAAAACAGAAAAAAATATGGTACCTTCCTTCAAGAAGAGCTTCTTTCAACCAATTATCAAATTCTAGAGCCCAGGGAGCAACCGCGTCACGAGACTGAATTTTAAGTGCTCTCAAGTTATGAACAGCACTGCCAGAGCCCATTATCAACACACCTTCATCTTTAAGAGGGGCCAATGCCTTTCCTAAGTTATAATGATGAGTACCATCTTTGTCAGATTGAACAGAGAGCTGACAAACAGGGATGTCAGCTTCAGGGTACATCAATAAGAGTGGAACCCAAGCACCATGGTCAAGCCCTCTCTTTTTATCTTCATCAACACGGTTGAAACCAGATTCCTTGAGTAGTTGCTTCACCCTCATTGCCAACTGTGGAGCGCCAGGTGCAGGATATTTAAGCTAGTAAAGGGAGCATGTGAGAGATAGCTACATAAATCTACCTCAAATGAAAAACATAGCATTATTTTGGAATGCCAAATAAATGTTTCAAGGCATGTGAATATATGAGGTGGACTAGTGATGAACCTACTAATTATGTATACAAGGCATTCCAAAAACTTTGTATATAAAACAGCCAAATAGTAAAAAAATGGAAACTGTTTCTATTATTCCTTAAAGGGAAAACGTAATATGGCTCTAAGGGCTATTGACAAAGTGAAAAAATTGTGCAACCATTTTTGAGGATAAAATAAGTAACATGACATTTATTTTGAAGCAAAGTGGCTTTTTTTTTTTTTTTTTTTTTATATTAACCATTGGTTCATGGAATATTCAACTAATTCGATTTGAGCGATTATAAATATATGGGAAGCAAAATTCTCCTTACCAAGTTTTAACACAATTGCATTTTTAGAAACTCAAACCAGAGACCATTTATTAAGTTAGAATAATCCTAGTTCATTCTCGTGCTTTTATGATAAAGTGATTTCTTTTTTAGGATGAAGTGGTAGCACAAACATTACTCATGGGTAATTATTTTACGTAGGCCATAAACATACACAGATCCGCTTTCAAACTGAAACGTATAACAGCAGAACTGAAAAGTTAGAGCACATTTTTAGACTTTAGTGCACCACGACATCATTCATGTTTGCTGGATGCTAAAATTTTAAAAAAAAAAAATTTGGTTCAAAATTTAAATGATTTCAAAAACTACTAAATGTTTGCGCACAACTAAAAAATTCGGAAAAAATGTTTTCAATTTAACTAACAGTTACCCATTTAATAATTATATCATTATTTCTTACTAAACTAGAAATACTTCTATTTAAAAAAAAAAAAAAACATACAATTTCTCTCCTACCCCTTTTTATCTTTTTGTGGGGTCTCTACTCTCTACCAACCACAAATTTTTAAGGAAAAGAAGAAGAACAAAAAAGCAAAGATAAGACGATGAATACGGGTAATAAAAATTGAGAGGAAGTGCAAAGTGGGAACCTGGTACATGGGTTTGGGGAATCCATAGAAGTCGTAGATTGTTTCGTTGGTATCAACAACGTTAACGGTGGGAACTGCTGTGTCCCAATGACCAGAAATGACGAGAATTGAATTGGGTCTCTGAGAAAACACGTCCTTCTTCCATGATTGAAGGAACTTTCTCGCTTCAATGGATTCGTCTATGGAAAGAGTAGGTGATCCATGTGATATGTAGAATGTGTCCTTCATCGCCATTTCTATTCTTCTTCTTTTTTTTCTTCAATTTCTTTAACAAGAGCTCAACTTTCATCTCTTTCTATCTCTCTCTATATATAGATAGAAAATTAGAAATAGCTAATGGAGGACATCATGACACAACACACTAATTTTGAAAATAAATAATTAAAATAAAAGAGACATTTTAAATTCTTGAAAGCGATCGGTCAACACTTAACGTGAATTTTCTTTCAAAATTTTATGTGATTGTATTTATTTATTTTTTAAAAATATTTGTAAATTTTAATAAACCATCGTTTATTTAATGTATATAAATTAACACAAGAAAATCTATTTCTAATTGAATCGTTGTATAATTAAGTATTTATAAATTGGATTTAAGTGACGTTTCAATTTTTTAGTTAGTTTCATTTATTGGAATGTAACGTAATATTTTAAAATTTGTGGAAATTAATAAGTTATAAGTTTTTTAAAATATTATTATGTATATATAGTATGATACTTTTTCTTTTTACTAAAGTATGATACTTTTTCTTTAATATCACGCAGTGACGCTAGTGCGTCATTGAGAACGGGTTAGGTGATGAATGTCGTCATGGTGGTAGGTAGAGTCTTGTTTCATTTTATTTTTAAAATAAAAAACTGAAAAAATAAACATGTTAACCAAAGAGTGTATTTTCCTTCACTGTTCATTTAAACAAGAGTGAATTTATCATTTTCCTTCTAAAATCAAGAGTTCATGTTATTGGCCACCTATTTTGGTATTTCTTTCAAGACAATATTCTAGAAAGATTTTGCTTCTAAATGTGATATTGTTTACTTTAAAACTACATATCCACCTTACTTAGAATCATAATTGAGTAAATATATATACATATCCACCTTAGAATCATAATTGAGTAAATATACAATTCAGTTCGTAAAAGATATTACTCGTGATATTTAAAAAATTTCACATATATATATATATGAGGCATTATATTTCTATACCGGTATAAGAGTTACAAGTCTTACACTCAATCTTGACCATTGATCTACTTGTATCCAGTGGCTCACATTACTAAAAAGATTAAAGCCTTTAGATATAAGTGAGATCAACGGATATGATTAAGAGTGTAAGTTACACTGGTGTAAAATGATTCTGACTCTATATATATATATATATATATATATATATATATATATATATATATATATATATATATATATATATATATATATATATAAAAGTTAGTCTCCAAAATTATTAACTTATGATCGAGTTTTTCTTTTCAAAGTTGTTAATTTACTGACCAATAAATAGCTTTCTAACTTGATCAGCGGTGGAAAACAAGAGAAGGTTTTTGGTGGGCTGGACTATGATAGTCCCTTCCTAGAAATAAAAAAAAGGAGAAATTGAAGAGGAAAAAATAAAAAAGACATGATAGAAATGGAAGAAAATTTTTTATTTATGACAAAGGAACCACTAAATAAGTGATAGACATGGAGCATATTAAATTTTTTCAAAAAAACAATATATTTAATCTTTTACGGACTGTATAAGTTATTAACTGATGGTTAATGACGGTCACAAAAGTATATGCTGCATTTTTTTAGCATATAAATATTTAATTTGTTCAATTTATCATAATTAATGACAGGCCGTCTAGTCTGGCTGTGAGACTGTTGGCGGGAAACTCGGGTGTGGCGATCCGTACAGTCCTTTTTAAAAATACATATTTTATTCTTGCTTTAATTTTCGTAGTTCATTGAATTATGTGTTAAATAATTGGGGCTCACATGGTACTTGTGCCCTAACTTTTTCATAAATTAAACTTTGACAGCCTATTATTTTTTTACTTAATGGCGGTTTTAGTTATTCACTGCTAGTTAATGATTGCCTCAAAAGTTTAAACCACATTTTTTTAGTATAGTAGTATTTAGTCTTATTTATTGTAATTTAAGATCGTCATAAATATCTTTTATAATATTTCTTTGAACATATATATAATCTTTATTTTTTTAGTTTATTGAATTGTGCGCTAAACATTGGGCCCCACTTGTTACTTATACCCTAGTTTCTTCACTTCTATAAATTCGTTCTTTTCATGCATCGCCCAAAGTTGTGCCACTTTGATTTTATTTCTCTCTTCTTTGATTGTCATGCATGTCAATTTTCTTCAATTCATCAAAGATGGTGGTGCCAGAATGCATGACTGCGATCATGATGGGTGGAGTGTGCATGGATCACGAGCTTTGTTCCTAGGGTTGTGGTTGGAAATGATTCATCTATTCTTCTACTCTGATTGATGATGTTTCTGCTCCTCCTAAATGCAACTTCTCCTCCCTCATCTTCTTCCTACTTTGCCTCCCTCATCGAGGTTAGACTCGATCTGCTTACTCTTTGTTTTTGTTTTTTAATTGTTTTTGCTTCGTTAGTTTTGCAATAAATTAATAAATAATAAATAGTAATTGCAAGGGAGCAGTGGAGGTGTGCGGAGAGCATGTGTTTGATCCTCTCTCCATTACCATTGGGAGGATTTAAAATCTTAATTCTGAGAACGCATCTCCCAAATAATTGGGCTGGCACTAGATGTAGTTTTTCCCTAGCAAAGAGAGTGCCTTGACTATGTGAAGAACTAGGACAATGTGTCCTGGAATGAGGATGGTTTGTTGACTTTCCAGAAGAGGATTGTGATTCCTCGAGGTCCTTTGACTGTTGAGGTGATGACAGAGGCTCATAAGGGCCAGTTTACTGTCCACCCTGGTGCTACAAAGATGTACCAGAACTTGAAGAGAAATTACTGGTGGCCGGGTATGAAGAAGGACATAGCTGTGTATGTGTCCAAGTGTTTGTTTTGCCAGAATGTGAAGATTGAACACCAGAAGTCGTCTGGTAAACCTCTTGAGATTCCAGAATGGAAATGGGAGAGCATTTCCATGGACTTCATGGTGGGATTGCCGAAGACTCAGGCTGGTTGTGACTCTATCTGGGTCATTGTGGACAGATTGACGAAGTCTGCCCACTTTCTTCTGGTGAATGTGAGCTTTACTACTGAGAAGTTGGCCAGACTTTCTGTTCGCGAGATCATGAGACTTCACGGGGTGCCCGAGAGTATCATCAGTGATAAGGACCCGAAGTTCACATCTTGGTTCTGGGAGGCACTGTAGGGAGCTTTTGGTACTCAGTTGAGATTGAGTACAACCTATCACCCTCAGACTGACGGATAGACTGAGCGGACCATCCAGACATTGGAGGACATGTTGAGGGCTTGCACTTTGGAGCAGGGTTCAGCATGGGATAGGTACCTGTCATTGGTTGAGTTTTCGTACAACAATAATTTCCATGCTAGCCTGGGCATGGCACCCTACGAGGCGTTGTATGGTAGGAGGTGTCGGACTCCTACCTGTTGGTCTGAGGTTGGAGATAAGGAGTTGTTTGGCTTGGACTTTGTCCAAGATACTACCCAGCAGATCCAGATGATCAGGGAAAAGCTGAAGCAGGCGCAGAATCGCTAGAAGAGTTACTATGATGTTAAGCATCGTCCACTGGAGTTCAGTGAGGATGAGCACGTGTTTGTGAGACTTTCACCTGTCACCGGTGTTGGTCGGGCCCTCGGAGTGAGGAAGCTGAGCCCGAGATTCATAGGGCCATATCAGATCCTTGGTATAGTAGGACCTGTTGCCAACCGGCTTGCCTTGCCTCCGAACTTAGCCAACATCCACGACGTGTTTCACGTGTCTCAGCTTCGGAAGTACATACCGGTTCTGCCTCACGGTACAAATGCGTACCGATGAAGTATCCCAGAAAATTATGAAAAGTATGTACATGTCACTAGAAAATACATAGGACTAGCATAACAGATTTTAGGTCAAAATAATGAGAACTGGTGCCAGAACTGACACTGGCTAAGTAAAAGCACATACCAAAAAAGTACTGCGAAAAATAAAATAAAAATATAACAAATCCTAGAAAAATGGCGAGGTTCAGAATCCCAAGTTTGAGATTAAATGGCTAAGCGTAACTATTAATGTCAATATTGTGTGATTAAAATTAAGTGGACTATAAATAGCCACTTGCACACAAGCCTAGGATGATACTCAGGCATTTCCTACGTGGATTTTGTGTGCTGAGCTGCTGCCTCTCTTCTTCTTCACAAAGCCATTACCTTTTCTTCACCAAATCCCTCAAGACACCACTTTTATGAGAGATTATCCACCTCTAATCTTGTAAACACTGAGTAGTTGGCATTGTAGGTGAGTAAGGTGTTTCATTTCTGTGGTTTAAGCTGCTGTTTGTTGGGGTTTTATGCTGAGTTTGAGAGTTGGTTGAGTGGAGCCTTGCTCTTGGATTTTTGAGCTTCAAGAAGCCACCTTTTGGAATAAAGGGCCAATCTTGATGATCAAATCCGTATCTTGGTAAAGTCAGTGTTGTGGTGCTGTGTAGAGGACCCCTAGTGTGTCTCATTTTTGGAGTTTTGAGCCTTGGAGGTATACCATGATCATAGCTTTGGTATTTTCATGTTTTAAGCTTGTTTAATCCATTAAAAAGTAAAACTGGGATCATTTGAGTAAAGGACTGTGTTTCTGAATCCTAAACATGTTAATGAACATCTTTTTAAGGAGTCATTGGACTCCAAATCGAGTTTGGACACTTAAAATGGGAATTTTGCAGAAGAATACTCGAGTTTCTGCATTCTGTCTGATAAGTATTCAAATACTTTTCGTGTAGCATTCGAATACTTATCCCTTGGTAGTCGAATACTCCTTGGAGGAGTATTGGGATACTTTTCTAGGAAGAAAAGTATTCGGTTACCCATGAAGAAGTATTTGAATACTGGATAGCATTCGGATACTGTGGGATTGGTATTCGAATACCTTGTGTTCGAATACTGAGTGAAAAGTATTCAGATACTTTGTAGTATTCGAATACTTAAGTGAAAGTAGTCGAATATTTTCTGGAGACTTGGAGTATTCGAATACTCATAGGGGAATATTCGAATACCTCATGCAGAAACAACATGAAATGACTTAAAATGAGTTAGAAAGCCT